AAGGGCCCTTGTATAGTTACGTTCAGTATGATTTCATTCCAACCCAGCAGGAGTTCTGGAATTTGCATGTTCTCCCTGTGTCTGTGTAGGCGTACAGAACAGTACAGTACAGTAGCTGCCCTCTCTCTCCTGAAAAAAGAGATTCTGAAATCACTGGGGGATTTTTCTGGTTTAATAAAGGTATATAAGAAAAAACAGAATAAAAACAGAATGGATAATTGCACTTCCTGGTTTTAGTTTAGTGACATAGAAACTCTAAACTGACCGTTATAACACGACAACCAGAAGCAAAACCTAATTCCACTCCTTCGTCCGTGTCCAATTGAACCAATCGTGTTTTAAATAGATATAGATATAGATATATACGTGTAAACAGCGAAACGCAAAGAAAGTGGGGGAAGAATTCTCTATAAAAGTGATTGTAATGAAGCTAGCAGTCCTTGTTTGCGGTGTGGGCGTGCTGAAGTATCCATTATCCGTGTGCGGCGTCTGTACGGTTATTTCTATCATTCGCCGACGCTGGTTTTAAATACGTTTTTCCGCATGTGAGGGGAGGCGACCGCTCGACCCTGCAGTAATGTATGCACCGATCCTCTCATAATTAGCTGCACTTTTTTCTCTTATTGCTGGCCTACTTTCCGTCACAAGTTTCTATACAGGCGAAGAATAATAAGCCATACACAGAGAGGCAGCTGAGATTATTAATGATGTAATGCAGCGGTCCGTGGTCTACTTCCTGGATCGTTCGGTTTTGTTTTTAGCAGAGAAAATAGAGGATTTTGTGGAGTTTTAAAACAGTCGTTCACAGACTTGTTCAGTGGTTCTCAAAGTGGGGGGCGCAGGACGAATGAATGAATGAACGAAAATACAGAAGGCTAAATGAAACTGCTAGCATAAGACGGACACATTTTTGGCACATTAAAATCTGCAGTTAGGGGTGAGCTTTATATGAATTATAATGTGTGAAATGAACTCAGGAAACAAAATGTGTACCTACGTCCTTATTTGGGTACGTTTAAAGCTGGGGTACCTAACTTTGACGCCACAAACGATATCTTTCCCGAATTACTTACAGTAGTTTCTCCCTCTATAGTTTCACATCATGCATTTTTTGGCCTTTGTTAATAATGTCAATAATTTGAAGACAGCAGTGAGTTGCATTGATTTGTTCAGAGAATGTTGCTTAAGCAGGACTCTTTCTGGTGTTTTCTCCGGATTTAACCAATTGCAGACATTATATAAAACTAGTAAAGTCACTGTCCCTCCATGACAACATACTTATTATTGTTTTTTAACATAAGTATTGCCCGTGAATACGTTTTGGCCTCTAATATCACACACTTGACTTTCAACAGCTCCCTCTGGTGGCAGCCTAGGGAGTTACAGGTGGAAGGCAGTGTTTTTTCACATTCTAAATCATGAAATCACAGATGGATTACAGATGGACCAGGGGTGTCCAAACATTTTAGTAAGAGGCCACTTAAGTTCAGCAGACTAGTCCAGGGGCCGACGTCACGGACTGAAAAGCTGTCTTGACTGAATCGGGCTGTTCTGAGCTTTATGATGATCTATAACGGAGCTGAAGTTGGCTGGATGATGAATGCTTACCGTCTCACCAGCTCACAAGTCAACGACTGAATTCCAGGCGTCCTGAGCTTTAGAACAAGGTCTATATTGGCTGAGCTGAAGTTGGATGGATGACACAGTGAGCTTGTGTTTATGATCTCAAAGACTACTGTGGGTTAGCGAGGTTGAGGGCCACAGGAAGTGACGCTGAGGGCCGCAATTTGCCCCCAGGCCTGAGTTTGGACATGGCTTCTATGTGTTTGTTTTTCCTGCATTTCCTGTGTTCAAACCGTTTTATTTTCAGATTTTTTTTGTGAAGGAATCAACAACATTGTCCTTCGAGACGACTTTGTTGGATTATGTGGATTCCGGTTGTGACAAAACAGCCCGTGTATCCTGAAACCGTCTCCTCCTCTTCATCGTACAAACCTCTCGTCTCTTTTCTCTCAAACCTGTTCAAACCCGGACGTGCCTTGGTCCAAATCCAGCCCGATCCTCCGTCTCCTCCGTCTTCCTTTGAACAGCTGCATTCTTCCGTCGCACCCGGAACATTTGGCTTTCCTCGCTTTGGCTCGACGCTGCGTTACTCACACACTTTTGACGCGTGAACAGAATCAAACAATAAGAAAAGGGGAAAAAAAGAGTTGGCAGTTTTAACTAAAGGCGGTGGCAGAGGTACAGACGCCGAGGATAATCCGTGAGGAGGATAATGGCAGCGAAAAATTCCAAGTTGCGGATTAGTTTGATTGATTTGTCCGCGATAAGCCGTTGGTGTAAATACGTATCATGGAGGTTGGATAATGCTTTGCTCTTTTAACCACATTTTTATCTATCAATGCTGTATTCTTCTGTATTCACCTGCATATATTATGTTTATACAGCTCTCGTTGCTTAATTAATGATGGCAAGTCTTCCTGAAAACGTGAGACAGGCTTTTTCTCTGACAGTTCTGTTTAGCTGCAAACAACTGAAACTCTAGCATTAGCATAGTAAAGAAGCTTGTATAAAATCCCTAGCTTTAAGATAGTATTAGCCTGGTCGTACCACACCATAGAACAAATTTCATTTCATACTAAGGTCTGTATTTGCTCCTTTGACTCCGTGAACAGGTGGGAGGGGCTAACTCCTTTTGCAGATTGAAACCATTGGATCTGAGTTTACCGTGACGTTTGTATCAAGCCCGAGTGAGTCGTTAGCATTTAGCCTAGCTTTAGCCATCTCCTTTGCCGCTAACGGAGCCCGTGGGGAGTAGCGCCACAATCTTTTCCAGAGATTACATTTTCTAAACATTCCTCTTGCCCCGGCTTCAGTTTCTTGATAGAACCAGACCAGATTACTTTACTATCGCATTCTTCGCCAAACTACGACCTGCTCGTTCGGCGCAAACTCTTGACGTCGCCCACAACTAACTACAACACCCGCCTCCCGCGCTCTCTGATTGGTCGGATGGAATTCAACCGATTGTATTCGCAAACACAGGGACCAGACCCAGACGTTACAGGCAGGACATGATGATGTACGGATGGATAAAGCCAGGCTAGCATAGTAAAGAAGCTGGTATAAAATCTCTAACTTTAGCATAATAAAGAACAGGGGTGTCAAACTCATTTCGCATCGTGGGCCACATACGGCCTAGGGAGATGTCAAGTGGGCCGGACCATTAAAATTATACCATACTCTGCTATAAATAACCAAAATATCATGTCTTTCCTTTGTTTTGGTGTAAAGAAGCACAAGAACATTAGGAAAATATTGAAATTTAATGAACTATCCTTTTACAAAACATTTCATGAAACACCTCATATTTCCATAGACAAATGTGCAATTTACTTTTATCATTCACAAATATGCATTGCAACTGATCCCACTGATTGTACAAAGGCACAAAACTTTAATTGGTACTGAAAAATATAGTAATGCACTTTAAGATTAAATGAGACTTTTAAAGAAAGGAATTTTTAAACCACTTACACATACGCATATAAAATCTAAATGTAATCCCTGCGTACACCTTACAACTAAGGAGAGTGATTTTAAATGTGTAATGAAGAAAGTGTTCGCCTGTCCTGTAAATCTGTAAACTTTATACATGAAACATACATACACATATCAATCAATCAATCAAAGTTTATTTGTAGAGCGCCTTTCATACACAGGGCAACACAAAGCGCTTCACAGTCCATACAATACATACTGAAAATTTATGGAGTTTTATGAAAAGTAGAATTCCATCACACAACTTTTGTTTTGAAGCTGCTGACTAACATTAAAGTGCACATTTTTAAAATCACCACAGTAAGGACTCATCTTCACAGAGCTGTATTCTTTCAATGCAAACAGTATCTAAAGCAGCATTTTAAAAGGTGTTAGTCTAGTCTGGACTTGTATTTGTTCCTGAAACTTGGCATCTTTTGGCCTGTACAAGTGCATCAACACCAGGTGTCATGTCCTGACTAGCTGTCACTTTCAGAATGTCATTTAAGTGCTTGTTTGTGAGCCTTGAACGCATTTTTGTTTTATTGATATTCATCACTGAGAAAATGTGTTCACAAAGGTAGGTTGTCCCAAACATGCACAACATTTTAGCAGCCAGGGCTGTTAATTTGGGGTACCCTGGTAGTAGATACTGATAAAATCTGTCCAGACCTACAGAGGCAAATTTGCCCTTCAAATCTGCATCACACTGCAAATCAATTATTTCTAGCTGAATTTCGACCGGCAGATCAGAAGCTTTAACTGTGAAAGGTGAGCGAAAAACTGAAAATTCTGTCTCAAGTTCACCAAATACCTGAAAACGTTTCTCAAACTCCCGCAGTAGTCCTGCAATTTTGTCTTTGTACAGTTTCATGTCCGCATCAGGTCTGGTCACACACACATCTCTCAGACAGGGGAAATGAGCAGGGTTGCCATTTGCCAGTTGCATCTCCCACAAAGTCAGCTTCAACTTAAATGCATGTATGTTGTCAGAAAACTGTGTGACAACTTTTTTGCGGCCTTGCAACATTTTGTTCAGATTGTTCAAGTGTTCAGTAATATCAACCAAGAATGCAAGGTCTCGTAGCCATTCCTGAGATTGTAATTCCAACACCGGTTTTCCTTTTTTCTCCATGAACTGTCCGATTTCCTCTCGTAGATCAAAGAAATGCCTCAGCACAGCGCCTCGGCTTAACCATCTCACTTCAGTGTGGTATGGCAGGCTGTGGGTAATGTTGCTGTCGCTGAGAAGTTTGTCAAACTGACGATGGTTCAGACCTCTGGACCGGATGAAATTTACAGTGCGAACAACCACCTCCATGACGTGGTCCATTTTCAGCGACTTGCAACACAATGCCTCCTGGTGCAAAATACAGTGAAATGTCCAGAAACGATCTCCTCCATTAAGGGCTTGTACTTTGTCTTTGAACTTTGTCGCGACACCTGCTTTCTTTCCGACCATGGATGGCGCGCCGTCTGTAGCCAGGCTGACAGCACGGGACCAGTCCACTCCAACTCTGTCCAATGCAGCAGCGACAGAGCCGAAAATGTCCTCGGCTGTTGTGGTGTCCATCATTGGCACCAACTCAAGAAACTCTTCAGTAACAGTCAATGTCTCATCAACTCCTCGAATAAATATGGCCAGTTGGGCCACGTCTGTGATGTCAGTGCTCTTGTCAGTTGCCACGGAAAATGCAATAAATGACTTGACTCTTCGTTTCAATTGACTGTCTAAATCTGCCGATAGTTCCGAAATCCTCTCTGCTATAGTATTCCTCGTCAGGCTAATATTGGCAAAAGCTTGTCGCTTCTCGGGACATACAAGTTCAGCCGCCTTCATCATGGATCGTTTAACAAAGTCACCGTCGGAATACGGCTTCGATGCTAATGCTATTTCGCTAGCAATTAGGTAGCTGGCTTTTACCGCTGCTTCACTGACTTCTCGGCTCTTGATGAAAGTTGACTGCTGTTTCCTCAGACCCGCCAGCAATTCGTTAATCTTATCTCTTCTCAGTTGTCCTTGCAAGCCATCATATTTTTTGCTGTGATGAGTCTCGTAGTGGCGTCGAATATTATATTCCTTCAATACCGAAACTTGTTGCAAACACACCAAGCACAAAGGTTTTCCGTGCATCTCTGTAAATAAATAGGACGTGGTCCATTTTTCTTTGAAAATTCTACACTCCTTATCTACTTTTCTCCGTTTGGATAACGACATTTTGGCTAATGAGGGTGTAGCGGAGAGGTAGAGACCAAGGTATTAACAACGTCGTAACAAGCAGCAGATGGCGCATTGATACCGTCTGCTGTTTTCAGTCTGTCTCAGTGATGCGGCTTGTCTTCTACTCTGATGGAAAGAGTGCGCCCCTTAGCGGATAATCCATGAATTGCAGCAAATTAAAAATATTAATTCCATGTCTTTTATGCATTTTTTCCACTTTCAAATTATCCTGCGGGCCTGATCAAACCTCCTTGGGGGCCGGTTCCGGCCCACGGGCCGTATGATTGACACCCCTGATAAAGAAGCTAGTATTATATAGTCTGTTTACATCTGCACACGTTAGCAGCATGAGGGTCCGGGACAAAATGACCTGTGCCATACATTTAAACTTGCCAACAACAGTGACATCCCCAAGTCCTCTCAGATTCCACACTGTGAGACTTGACTCGGTTCTTACTGCAGCTATTGACAGGGATTTGCATGAGACAAAACACTTGGGTCGACGAGAACGAGATGAGGTTTTGGAGAGAGAGAAATGACTTGTGGGAACGACCGGCCTTTTTCCTCGAGTGGTAAATCTCAGGGTCGTTGGAAGTAAGTGCGTGAGCGGTGTCAAGGACTGGGATTAGGGCAGTGTCTCTGCTCTTCTCGATAGTTTTAATCCAGGCATGTCCAAACTAAGGCCCGAGAGACAATTCCACTCCGGGACTTCTCTGGGCCTCGCCGGACTCATCTGTGAATGTCAGTCTCCGAAGATAAAATACTAAATTGTGACCGTTTTACTGTGGCTGTCCATTTCAGAGGCCTGTGCCCGAGACTTTGGATCAGTCAATAATCAATAATAAATGATGCATATGGCCCAGGACCTCAGGACTTGCCCTCACAGACCTCTCCCAGTCTGAGATAACGCATGTGCAAATTGCAGGAATAAAACTTGTACTTTGGCTGTTGATTTCCGAGGTGTTTGATCAGTCAAGTTATCCGGATGGTTCAGGACCACCACAGACTTATCGGCGGCACGGTGGCTGAGTGGGTAGCGCTCTCGCTTCTCAGCAAGAAGGTTCTGGGTTCGAATCCCAGTTGGAACAGGGCCTGGGTGGAGTTTGCATGTTCTCCCCGTGTCTGCTCCGGTTTCCCCTACCACTAAAAACATGCACAATAGGTCTGAATGTAAATGAGAGAGTGAATGGATGGTGTTGGAGCTGATGGTGCAGTGTGTTCTGGACTCGCTTCTGTCATCACCGTGTGTGGAAGGACTGGAACAATATTTGACTCTGAACATTGGAAAGTGCTTTGGGTCTGTACCTTGGTCTGTAAAATGTGCTATATAAATTACTAACTTATCTCAGCTTGGGCTAACATATATATACATTTCAGCCTCATTAAACAAAAGGTACATTTTTGACCCTGGGAATCTGGCTTTGGACTCGGTCAAAATGATCAAAAAAAGTGATCTCAAAACTTCTCAAAAACTTCTCCGGGGCTGGATTAACACATGTGCAGATTTCAGCCTCCTTGGACAAAATTCTAAATTGTGACCCTTGTACTTTCGCTGTTGATTTCAGAGGCCTGCGATCAGTAAAAAAATCAATAAAAAGTTTTCCAGATGGTTCCGGACCACGGGACTTGCCCTCACAGACATATTTCAACCTGAGCTAACCTCCTGAGCCTGAATTTCAGCCTCATTGGACAAAATACTGAATTGTGACCCGAGTACTACGGCTGTGGACTTCAGAGGGAGACTACAGATGAGACAAATCGATCGATAAAAACAAATGACAACTGAAAGGATTTCATCTTCACTGAAACATGAATATTTAATGCCTTGTGTAGCTTGTTTTTTAAGCACTTTGACTTGTCCTGAGTATAAACTGTGCTACGTAAATAAACCTGCCTTTGCCTTTTGCACATTTTAGTTAGTTTTACAGCTCACTGCTCAAACGCAAACATCGCGACGCATCTGCATAACCTTTACAGACCCGAGTCCCTGCGATTCCCTCACAAAACACAGCTATCGATCTCCCTTCATCCCGCGTTGACGGTAACACTTCACCCTCTTGTCTCCCCCGTCTCCCCCGCATCCCCTGCTCCCCCCTCTAACCCAGTCCAGGCTCAACCCATCTTCTCCGCGGCTGTAATTGCCACCGCTGCCCTGTTTTTCCTGAGCCCCTAAAGTGGATTATTTCTCCGTGTCCCCAAACCTCTCAAAGCCGTGAAGATGGCCGCCGTCGATGGCCGTGAATAGAGAGGGAGTTTTTTGGGCAGATTCTGAGGCGCACTGACCCGTATCTGTTTGTGTGCGCCGCTTTAGCCGGGACTATCAGCCGGGCCCAGGGGCAGGATTTAGAACGGCGCCGGAAAATCTCATATTTGTGACATTAGAGGCGAGAGGAAAGCACCTGTCGGCCATGTTGGTGTGGGCAGATGATATGGCGCTGACCTACAGCCACCGGAGCTTTGGCTGCGGTTTAAATGTGTGGAGACGGAGCTCTAAACACCACTGGACTGGACTGATAGAAGCACAGCAGGGGGAGGGAGGGGGCTGCAGGGAACGGCCAGGGCTACGGGTAAAGCTGGGGTACCTAACTTCACTCAGCCAATCAGCTCTCAGCATAAAAAGTAACGATAAGGCAATAAAAAATATTTATAAAAACATGATGCATTAAAAAGAGAGCAGATAAACAACTATTTTTCACCTGGATTTGAACATTGTTGAAGCCCGTCTCACATTTTCAGGAAGACTGTCCCAGAGTTTAGCTGCCTCCACATGTTCAGTCCTGACTCTGTACTTAGTTCAGAACAGGTTCTGGTTTGCATCGGCTCCAGGGTCAAGTCACCGTAAGATACTAAAGTCCAAACACACACGTCGCTAAAGTGTGATTTACTCCTAAAATACACATTTATCAAAAGGCTAATTAGGAGTGTGACGATATATCGATATGGTGATGTATCGTGATACTTTCTCACGTGAGCGATTATTGATAAGCTTTTGCCAAGTATCGATCAAAATAAAAATAATAGTGTCAGTACTTAACATATGGCTACATTACGCATCTCCATTTATCATGAAATGAAGTGTATTTTTTCACTTGATATTTTTCTTTTATTTATGCCATAAATAATCGTAGGTATATTTCTGACGAATGTATCGATAATCGTCACATCGTGATATAATCGTTATAGTGAGCTTTGTATCGCGTATCGTATTGTATCGTGAGGTTCCCACCCCTAATGCTAATACACGCATACTAATGTACTAATTATAATTTATGTTTCTGATCAAAATTACCAACATTCTTTCTGTCCATCTTGGTTTGAGGAGGACCTCGACTGGTTTTCTTTTATCTTTTGCTTTTCCTTCAATTATTTTTTATACAGAAGCTAAATGAATAACAACCTGTATGTTAAAAGTCAGATCCTGTCAGACCTCTGAAGCTAAGCAGGGCAGGGTCTGGTTAGCACTGTGATGGGAGACCTCTGGGAACACCAGCTGCCACAGTGGGGCGGCTGCGGCTGTAAAGTGCTTAACTGTGGTTGTGTCCTTGGGCAAGACACTTCCCCCACATTAGCATGAGTCTGGTGTGTGTGTGAATGGTTGCCTCGCTTCTGTCAGTGTGCCTCAGGGCAGCTGTGGCTACAGTAGTTACAGGGGTGAATGAGTATTGACATGTGAAGCGCCTTTGAGCGTGTCCAGAACAGTGTTGTGAAAAACCAACGCATTATTATCACTGTATTAATATAAAGACCGAAGAAAGGTGCTCCCTCAGGCGTCCATCAGACAAAGGGACAGCTTTACGCCAGGCTTTGAATCTGTCCTGAAACGTAAGCTTCTCTTCTTCCCATTCTCTCATCGACTTGAACAGCTGTTTGTGAGCCACTCCAGGCTTGTTTTGTTGATTTCTCTTCAGTCCGTCTCCAAATCTCGCCTTTTATTTCCTTCTATTTCCAGTCCCTCTTCCAGTCTCTCTCTCTCCTCGCCCTCAGAGCATCCATCACATGCGACAGTGTAGTTTGTTCGATGCGGAGACGTGCGGCGGCGACGGGGGCGACACGGGCAAAGGTTGAATTATCACGCATTTTTTTTGTAGTCTGAAAATGAAGTGTACTAGGGGCTCTTACTGCCTCCTCAAGACGGTGACAGACCGAGCACAAATCCTCCCTTTCTCTCTCCGGGATAATGAGGCCCCACTCTCCCGCTCTATCATCTGCCATGCTAATAGTTGCTATGATTTGACTCTTCCAGTTTTCCTCTTTTTCGGGTGCGTCATCCGTGACAATGTCTTGGGATTTCATCATTCCTCTGCTGCATAGAGAGAGCGCGAGCAGCTCATTTGGCAACATAAATGTCAAAGTAAAAGCGGGATAATGGAGAGCCCCCAGCCTTATTAAATAAAGGCTTTTAAGAGAGGAGAGAGGTTTTTAGGAAGGGTCTGTCATGGAGGCTGGAGCAGAGGGGATTAGGCCGTGCTGTTTGTGAAGAGGTCGGATCAATGAGGAAGTGGACGTTATAGAGGCCGTATTATGTGCAATTGAGTTTCAGGAGGTTTTAACTGTTTTATCCCTGGTGTTATTAGCTAAAACAGAGTAGGAGTAATCGCTGTATTGTCTTGTCATTGTCATTGAGAGAACATTGTGCACATGTTCCAGAGCGGTCCAAATCTTCTGTTATTTTTACGTCCAAATGATCATATCGATAAACGTTTCTCTCTATCGCCTGCGTTTGTGCCACAGACTGAAGAAGCAGCGGACAAAACTGGTCCAAAAGTCGCTGTTGGTCCAGATGCTGTCGATGCTGACGTTTTTCGTTTTTTTTTTTTGGACCAGTCTAGTTTAGTCGCTGTGGACTTTTGAATGCACTCGTTTAATGATTAGGGCTACTGCAGCTAACACATGCACATATACGTTTTTTCTTATTTTCCGGCCCCACGGCCATTTTGAAAAAGCACATACAAGGCAACGGTGATGTCACATTAGTTTCAACAGCAGATGACTACATTTGTTAATAAGAGCTCAGTTGGTAGAGCATTGGCCTTTGAGCCAGAATGTCGAGGGTTCAAGCCCAACTCAAGACTTTCACTATCGACTCCCACTGATGTCTGCCGTGGTTGTGTCCTTAGGCAAGACACTTAACCCCCATTGCCTAGAATGCTAGAATGAGTCTGATGTGTCGGTGGTGGAGGGAGGGGCTTATGGCACAGACCGGTTGCCTCGCGTCTGTCAGTGTGCCCCAGGGCAGCTGTGGCTACAATAGTTATCACCACCGTGTTTGCAGTGAATGAATAATTACATGTAAAGCGTCTTTGAGAGTCCAAAAAAAAAGCACTGTGTAAAACTGATTTATTATTATTATTATTATTATTTACAGTATGGTTAAACTACATATTTATAGTGAGTGTGGCACAGATCCATAGATTTGTATTTCTTTTCTTGTCAATGTATAAGTGAATGGAGCTGAAATCTGAATCAACATTAAATCCCTATAAACTATGAACTAATCTTCATCTCTGGAGTCAAATACAGAACATTATCTGTTGTTCCGTCGGCAGTGAGGTCAGCTGACGGACGGGAAACATGTTTTCTACAAAATCGGTGTCAAAGGATCAGTTTGCTCTTGGCTGTTTCCATTGTTTATGCTCTGGGTCTGTGCAGAGTGACGTTGGAGGAAACCTTGTCCTTGAGCCCTGTGCGGCTTCGCTAGCGGTTTAGCACTGTCCTTTCTTACACATGACGCTAACCAGTTCCTAAAAGTCGCTTTAAAATGTCTCCTTAAGTAAGTAAGTAAGCTTTATTTATATACCGCCTTTCACAGACCAGAGTCACAAAGCAGTTTACAATTGTTATTTTTTGGGCACTTGTCTCTCACTCCACACAGAGATGGGAGCGGGGTCGCCGAACAGGAGGCGCATGCCAGAACTATTGGACATATTTTTAGTGGTAGGGGAAACCGGAGTACCTGGAGGAAACCTACGCAGACATGGGGAGAACATGCAAACTCCACTCAGAAAGGCCCTGGTCCGGCCGGGATTCGAACCAAGGACCTTCTTGCTGAGAGGCGAGAGTGCTATCCACTCAGCCACCGTGCCGCCGAGACACCACACCATTTTCACGTTACCAGTTTCCAGGATGACTTGGTCTTTCAGCGGGGGCTTCAAGCAAAGTGGGGTTAAGTGTTTAGCCCAGGGACACAACGACAGCAGAAGTCAGTGGGGGTAGTTCTTGTAGAGGCATCAAACCCACAACCAATAGATAGATAGATATATAGTTTATTGATCCCCTGTAGGAGAACTTCAGGTGTCAGTGGCAGCAAAAACTAAAAGATTACCCACAAAGACCACAGTACAATAGAAAATAAAGATTTCTCTCCTTTGTCCACGAGAGTCTAGAAAAATAATTATCATTTTGAACTTGACAATTTACCAAGGACATCACCAACACCATAAATTAAATCCGTTGTGTCTCTCTCCACACTTTCTCCGTCCAGAGAAACGGCCGATCGTGCGACTCTTCCTTGCCCCGTGTTATAGTCTGTGGGCTGTGGGGTTACCCAGGGGTCAGAGCTCGGCCCGCAGACGGATGAAGGCGGCGGTGCGAGTGCGAGTGGGCGGGTTCTGTCGCGGTGCAGACTGGGATGAGATTAGCGCGCTCTCCGGAGGCTAATGTTCATTTAAATGTCAGCTCTCATAGCAACGCACACAGTTGAAATATGTCTGCTCCTTCTCCTCTGACGGACGAGCTGCTGCTACCGATTTAACGTGTGAGGAGTCTATAGTTTTTCCATATTTGAGCCACATTTCCATATTTTTGGGTTTCTTAACATATTAGACAGTTTTGTGATTCGATTCTGTGTTTCATGTCCCTCATATTATTTTCTTAAAGATGCAGTCGGTGACGTTTTCAGACTCATCTTTTTTAAATATCAGTAAATAAAAGTATCAAGTTATCATGTGTTTTCAAATAGTAATGGAATTGACCAGATGTCTATAGTCTACAAAAATAAAAATAAAAATAAAAATATTTTGGAGCGACCCGATAAAACTAAACCAATGGGATTCGTTCATCTCCAACGAACCAATGGGATGTGTTTACCGCCTTCACCCTCTTCCTGTTTCTCGCGAGTGCACCAGAGTTATCGGATTTTCTAAAACCTAAAATTGTCACGTAGGTGAAAAACAAGGAGACCCAAAAATGCAAAAGTAAGTAAGTAAGTAAGTAATCTTTATTTGTATAGCACCTTTCACAGGCAAAGGCCACAAAGTGCTTCACAACACAGTTAAAACATCACAAAATTAAATACAATATAAAAAGGGTCAAAACAACACAGAAATCGTATCAGCCCAAAAATAGCTAATTAAAGGCTTGAACAAATAAATGAGACTTAAGATTGCTTTTAAAAGTATCAACAGAGTCAGTAGAGCGCAAAGAGGGCGGAAGATCGTTCCAAAGCCTGGGAGCAACAGCCTGGAAGGATCGGTCACCTCTTGTACGAAAACAAGTGCGTGGAACCTTTAGCAGATTTTGATCCATAGACCTCAGAGCCCGAGCAGGGGTGTGAGGCTGGATCAGAAAACTGAGGTAAGAAGGAGCTTGACCACGCAAGGCTCTGAAAACTAGAACCAAAATTTTAAACGTGATCCTATAGGACACTGGCAACCAATGAAGTTGTTTTAAAATAGGAGATATGTGGGTCCTCCTGTTAGTGCGGGTCAGAATTCTCGCTGCAGAGTTTTGCACTAGTTGCAGTCGAGAGAGCTCCTTCTTATTTAGACATGAAAACAAACTATTACAATAATCTAAGCGTGAAGACACAAATGCATGAATGATAAGCTCCAAATCATTACGTGCAACCATATTCCTAAGTTTAGAAATGTTCCTTAGTTGAAAGAAGCAGTTCCTTGTTAGCTGCTTACAGTGCTGGACTAATGACATGTCTTTGTCAAAGATGACGCCCAAGTTTCGAAGACTTGGCTTCGCTGACTGGCCTAAGTCACCCAGGTACTGTTTAATCCCCGGAATTGCATCATCAGGTGCGATAACCAGTGTTTCGGTTTTGTCTGCATTTAGCTGCAGAGAGTTATCACTGAGCCATTGTTTTATTTCCATTAGACAATGGAGCAGAGAGTCTAGCTTCTGGATTTCAGACGGCTTAAAGGAACAGTAAAGCTGGATATCGTCAGCAAATAGGTGGAAAGAAACATCACTGAACCTTTGGATGATCTTTCCCAAAGGAATCAAATACAACAAAAATAAGACAGGACCCAAAACGGACCCTTGAGGCACTCCGCACAACAAACCCACAGACTCAGACCTAATTTGGTTAGCTGTAACACTGAAGCTACGCCCCGATAAATATGAGGAGAACCACTGTAGAACTGCCCCCGACAGTCCTACTTGATCCCTCAGTCTTTTCAGCAGAACCTGATGGTCAACGGTGTCGAATGCTGAGGACAGATCCAAGAGAACTAGAACAGTGCGCTTCCCAGAATCAGCAGACATCATAATGTCGCTGGACACTTTCAGCAAGGCCGTTTCCGTAGAGTGTTGTTTACGGAAACCAGACTGAAACGGCTCATGGATGTTATTTTGATCCAGGAAGAACGTAAGCTGTTCACAGACCACCTTCTCAAGGATCTTGGACAGGAACGGGAGTTTTGAAATAGGCCTAAAACTATTAAGATCAGTCGGGTCTAACCCTGCTCTTTTTAGTAGTGGCTCCACTATGGCATGTTTAAAGGCACTGGGAAACACGCCAGTTGACAAAGAGACATTAACCATTTTGGTAACACAAGGGCCAATTACCTCGAACACTTTTTGAAAGAGCCTGCAAGGAAGGATGTCAGATGAACAAGAGGAGGGCTTCATCTTGGACACCAGTGCTGAAATATCAGCAAATGTCACCGGTTTAAATGAAGACCACATGCTGGACACAGGCTCAAACACAGCAGGGGTGCCACACAGAAGGGGCGAGATTTTATCCTTGATCATCTTAATTTTGTTTGTGAAAAATCTCGAAAAGGCATTGCTGTCAGCTTCACAAAAGACAGGGGTAACTGGAGCAGCAGGACACACAAGATAGTTAATTGAGTCAAACAACACTTTGGGATTTTTCTTATTCAATGTTACCAGTTGACGGATATATTCAGATCTGGAATTTTCAATCATCACGTTGTATGATGACACAAGATCCCTGAGATAGAGCCTGTGCACCTCAAGTTTAGTGGATTTCCACAGGCGTTCAGTCTTTCGACACAGCCTCCTGAGTCTTAAGATATCATCATTTGTCCAAGGACACGCTTTTTTCTGTGACAAGTTTGATTTAACAGGAGCCAACTGATCCAAAATTGTTTCACAGTGGTTATTAAAACAGTGAATGAGATTGTCCACATCGAAACAGTCCATGACTAAAAGAGGGTCAAACATTTCTGAAAAACTATCTGCGGTATTAGCAGAGATGACACGCCTCTGAGACCTGACTGCTGAAGGCTTGGGCTCAGGACTAAAGTACAGATCAAACATAACAAGACTATGATCACTCAAATGGACATCAATCACAGACAAGTTTAAAATGTCTATGCCAAGCGTAAAAACTAGGTCAAGAGTATGGCCTTTTTGGTGAGTGGGCTCAGAAACATGCTGCTCAAAATTAAAAGTTTCAGTCAATGTAAGCAGTTCCATTGCGGGGCAAGATGAGCAGTCGTCAACATGAAGGTTAAAATCCCCAAGGAGTAAAACAGATTCCAACTTTATTATAGAGGATAAAAAGTCACTAAAATCCTTTAAAAAGGCAGCAGCGGGGCCAGGAGGACGGTAGATCAACTTACAGTAAAATGGGGATGAAAAGCCCACCTTGACCAGCTGGGATTCAAAAGATGTGAATTCTTGGGACTGGGTCACTTTGCATTTGTGGACATCCCTGTGCACAAATGCCAGGCCACCACCACGGCGACAGGGGCGGGGTTTCCCGACAGCAGAGCAGCCAGCTGGGCAGAGATCATTTAAATGAATGAACTCTTCCTCTCTCTGCCAAGTCTCCGAAAGACACATGATATCCAAGCTTTCTCTGACGAAAAGATCGTTCAATGAATGAGATTTATTCGCAATTGAACGAGCATTCAACAGGCCAACGCAGATTGTAGATGACGTCACGAAGGCAGTGTCTGTGTTGAGCAGCGGGATTGGTCGAAGGCACGTCCAGCGGTCACGTGGACTCCAGCTGGTCCATGCTGGAAGAGCAGGCACAAACACGGAAGTAAGCGATGGCGATGAAAGCTCCTGACCACAACTCCAGCGCTGTGATGGGTCCAGGACACTCGTTGTAGTCCGAGCAGGCGTCGGCGTGGACACCCTGTCACACGCATCGAGGAGAGAATCTGGCGCAGGCACCGAGCACGATCCCTGCAGCCGAAGACAGCGGAGCCAAAGCGCGATGCGGCACGCCTTCGCTTAACCTGGACACCGGACCGAGAGCCTCTTTTCTTGGATCTCCTGCGGACCCTGCGCGGCGCCCAACACAACAAGTAATCAGGTGAGCCGGGATCGATGATGAAAGGAGGAGGAAACGCCTGTTTGTAGCTGTCCCATGTATCAAACAGGCCCTCCATTGACTGCTTTATACGAAACAAAGAGTCCCGATCAAAAGTCCGTATAGCCACACATCCTTTTGTTATTTGGGCTGATATGATCGCATAGGTTGACAAAATGACCATTAGCAATCTACACAGTAGGAGACGAGCCGTGGCATCGCCAGTCACAGGCGCCATCTTGCTCGCCATCTGCGATCTGTAGAACTACAAAAAATAATGGATTTAACCAAAATATAAAACAAATCCAAAAACCACAGGGAACAAGGACAGAACTAAAACAGATGAGGGATGACAATGACGGAACAGGGAGTGAAGGAACACACAGGGCTAAATACAAGACTAACGAGACACAGGTGAGACAGATGAGGGCGGGGCCGGTACTCAGACAACAGGAAGTACAACCAAAGAAGACACAGGGATAACACATTTCAAAATAAAACAGGAAATAAACTTAAACCATGACACAAATGGCTGAACAGAAATTGCCAATTTCATGTTTGCTCCACTCTCCTTGTTATTTAAATTTCAACTTATCTCCAACTGGGATTCGTACTTAGTACCTTGTAGTCAAGAGGTGCTAACCACTCAGCCACCGGGCCGCTCTGTCACTTACACACCTGCTTTATTAAAGACTCTACATGTTCAAATGTCAAAAGTGAGGCTTACTTGAACAGAGACAGTTCAATTCAAAGAAAACCCTGAGTCATTTCGCAAAGCTTTAAATAAACTCACAATAAATGAGTAATATTTACTTACTGGGAAAAATCTATTTAAAATAACTTTGATATCTGAAGTATGATTGAAGTTGGGGTTTACAGTGGTGCTTCCTATACTGGGGAAGTCTCGCACAGTTACTCCAATGTGGTTTTACTGCAAATGGAAAATCAACTGGATGTGAATCTGAGGTCCGTGTTTTTGGAGATACCTAAAGCTCAAGACAGTTTTACAAATGGGTCAAGTCTAAAGTCAGGAGATTGTGTGATTATATTCAAATTTGGCTATTTCTGTTTTTCATAATTCTCTCGTTGGAACCAGTTCTAATTCCACGGAGAAAACACACCATCAAATTAAAGTTGTAATCAACACGTTACACTTATATTCAATAAATAAGTCCAGCTTTGACCCTGTACTCTTCACAAATCGACTTTTTCAGTTTCTTGAGTTTCTCCTGCACTTTTTTTTTCCCCTTTCGCAACTAACTTTCTCCCTGAGCCCTGAAGCCAACAGATACCAGGCAGAATACTAAAGATAGCAGGGTAACTGTTGGACAGATTTGTGGTGTAGAATGAATTACGCACACTGGCAGATAAGAAATGCTAAAACCACTTGGATTGACTTGATTGAAGTGGACTGGTTTGGGCTCGCATCGCTCACACACCACAGTGGGATTAATCAGACGGATGCCGGTTTCTCTCCAGTGGTAATGTTGGAGAGATGGCTGAAAGATCAAGGCTGCGTCTGCGTTGACAGAGACGCCATCGTTCTGTGGACCACCTGCAGGAGGATCGGTGAAGGGCCGGTGCCACCCCCTGACCCAGAAAGGGGTTTCGCCAGGCATGTCCAAACTCAGGCCCGGGGGCTAATTGCGGCCCTCTGTGTCACTTCCGGTGGCCCTCTGCCTCGCTAACCCACAGTAGTCTTTGAGATCATAAACACAAGCTCACTGCGTCATCCATCCGACTTCAGCTCAGACAATATAGACCTCGTTCTAAAGCCCAGTACGTCTGGAATTCATTTGTTGACTCATGAGATAGTAAACAGTCATCATTCAGCCAACTTCAGCTCCGTTATAGATCATTTTAAAGCTCAGAACAGCCCAATGCCAGTCATGATGTCGGCCGCTGGACTAGTCTGGTGAACTAAAGTGACCGTCTTACTAAAATGTTTGGACACCCCTGGATTAAGCGGAAGAAGATGGAGGGATGGTCATTTTTGATTGGACACATTTCATTGGTTTAAATTGTCTGGTTTGACATTTGAACTAGAATATAACGTCCAAACTCAAAAAAAAATAAGCGTTTTTAAACTTGCCCCCGACCAACATGAGTTTGAGACCCCAGTTTTAGAGCTATCCTTCCAGGTTAGGTCATTTTCTACAGGACAGCGATGATCCAGGACAATTAACTGACTGCCAGCCGTTTTTGATGATTTCACTGATTTTCAAGACCCACAGATTATAATGTGCTGTGACTAGGTGAAATATGAAACCAGATTCTGAACGACTGAACCGTCGACTTTCTGCAACAAAAATAAGTTTGTTTGTAGCTTGTTTTGTTCTCCTGTGGTCCCCCGTCGAAAAGAGGAAAGTTTGGCAGAAATCACCTCAGAGACGACTGCAGTTGTTGTTCAGGGCTCTACACAGATAAGTGTAGCTGAAATGAAGTTGTGTGTCTGTGCATAGGTGCATGGTGGACTTGGAATGGTTTGAAATGGAATGTTTTTAAAGTTTTTTGAACGATTACAGACATAAAAACCTTAACAATAAAACTAAATACTTTTTTAGAGGCGGAACGATTACTGATTCAATGTCTTGTGTTTTCCCGGATAAACAATAGAAGAGAAAAGAATGGACAGGACGTTTTGGCTAATGTGTTAGCTTGACGATGCCCTGTGTATTGTGAATAATAATGTATAGACGAAGCTGAAGTTGGCTGGATGACAAATGGCTGTGTTGTGCTGATCTGTTGACGTGTGGGTTGGTAACAGCTGAATTGTAAGGGTTGGTGGATGAGTAGGAGGCAAGCTTAAGATTACACAAATTGGGAAAAAAAATCTGTGAAATCTCAACTGTAGACTTTAAAATCATCCCTTAACAATGTGTGTGAATTCAGTTGTTGACTTATGAGCTGGTGAGATATTAAACAGTCATCATTCAGCCAACTTCAGCTCTGTTATAGATCATTTTAAAGCTCAGAACAGCCCGATGCCAGTCAGGATGATATTGACGCATTTGCTGCTATAGCTAATAAACATAGCAGCTACTCGTATGCTCCCTCTTTTATCTTATACTAATGTTAGGCTAATGGGTACGGCTACTGCACTACACAAATACATCAAACGCACTTCTAATACCTGAACAGTGTAAAGCCGTGTAGTGTCTGCTATTCTAAGTTTTACATATATTCATGTATTTTCATATGTGTAAAATCCTGTTGGGGACATTTGGGCCCAATTGCGGAGACAGCTGACTCTACTGACTCCTCTCTGGGGTCAGTGGGGCTGTGGACATGTGGAAGGACCAAAAGAGGCATTGAGAGACCCTCGGGGAAGACCCGGAGATACGGAGTTTAACCAGGACTAGTTTATAAGATTATTGATTGACATGTATTTTAGGGTTGGGCGATATTTTTTTTGTACCGGTATACCGGTATAAGTAAATTAAATGATAAGAAAATGCCTTGTACCGGTGAAAACGATCATTTAACACTGAAAACAGCGAGCGGAAGACACGTTTGTGTGCGGCGCACTTTGATGACGCATCTGCGCGACACGTGTAGCAGAGCGGCGTGCAGGGACAACAACAACAGAGCAGAGAGCAAACATGGCTGAGGGCGGCGGTGAAGACCGTGGTGAAGACATGCAGATTGTAGAAGACATTGTGCCAAAACGCGGAGCTACCTCAAACATATGGGAGTAGTTTGGGAACTAGATAAAAAGAAGCAATTGTAACTATCGACAGTGGATCTAATGTTGTGAAAGCAGCTGCAACAACTGGACTCGAGTGGCTTGCTTCGGACACTCACTCTCTCTCTCTCTCTCTCATAGTGCCATTGGTAAGCTTTATTTACTGTTTACTGTCATTCATTTTACTTCAATGCATGTGTTTGTCTACATTGCAATATAATTACAAATAAGTTATAATTACATAATTATAGAAACGCAAAAGGATACAAAAAATATATACAGTATTTGATCATTTTGACTATATTGGGATTAGGAAACATAAGCCAAAGTGATCAAATAATTATTTGATAATGCTACACTTTTTATATTACAAAGGACAAACTATTATATAGTTTACAAATTACAAATGTTCACCTTTATGACATGTTGCCTGCAATTTTCAGTATGTACAAAACAGAATTCTCTACAATTCAGTTTTGTTAATACGTTTTATATACAATAGCTGTATTACACATTTTGCTGCCAATAAATCAGTAAATGCACTTTGAGGCAAGTGTGTTTAAAATTATCAGTGCTAAGTTTTTATAGCTTTTATATGAGGCTTTGTTAAAATTATCATATCGTCATATCGTGATACATACCAAAAAAATTCGTGATACATGCTGAGGCCCATATCGCCCAACCCTAATGTATTTATGAGATCCGGTGACTTGACCAACCCATGACGCTCCTCTGCTGCTACTTAAGGAGCAGCGTTTGCTTCATTCTGTCTTTCTGCTTTTCCATCTTGTCAGGGACTCAGGTCTTAGTCTATACTTTGTATGCTATTCTGTTAATAAGAAGGTTTAATGTATATAAATATCTGAGCAGAGTCTGAGCTTCCATTCACTATCACTGTTCGTGCGGAAGGGAAACCCAGTTAGGACCATATGACTGTAAATATTAACAGACGTAGTCACGCCTATCTCCGCCGTTCTAACTAACGGGCCAAAAATTGGGCTCTCATGAAGTGATTCAAAATGGCCGCGGGGGCTGGAAAATGTGAAAAATCACATCTGTGCATGCGTCAGCTGCATGAGCTCCATTCATTTAAACGAGTAACTTCTAAAGTCCACAGCGACTAAACTAGAGTGGTCCAGAACACTCAGCATTGACACACATGTGGAACGGAGCTTTGGGCCAAGAGACACTTTTGGAGCATCCTGTAAAGACGATTTCGAGAGGTCTGCCAATGCTATATGTTAGCATTGGTTAATTCTTATTCCGGGTCCACCCCCACAGGCCCGGGGTGGTATTGCAGCATGTCAGCGCACGTCATATTGGCCACTTTTGAGCCGGGACCCGCCCCCACTGGTTTGGACACGTAGATAATTTACCACAGCCGCTCACAGACAGTTTAAATACTTTTTACGGTCGCGTCTCTTTCACAGCGTTGTCTAATCAGCGACACAGACAACTGCCTCACGCCTCCTCCTTCACCTCCTCCGTCTCCCAAAGACAAACCCAATCAGGAGCATTCATCCACTCATCAGCCGCAGAACAAAGCGCTGCGTCCTGTCATGTTCCGCTCCGTATTACGACCTCCGACTAATGGCTCTAATTAAGCACAAAGCAGATTTCCGAGCGCAGGTGAAGGAAAAGAACTTAAAATACAGCGATGGGTTTGTCTCGAGTAAAGTTTAGTTTGTGCACCGCTGCCACGTCTGTTTCACCGGGAAAGTGATGGAAAACAAGTCAAAGATGTCACAATTTTGGCAGAATGTGTCGTAATCTGAGCACATTCTGACTGAGCCTAAACCAAGATTCTCCGATGGGACAAAGCAAAATGATCTTGTTTAAAAAGATACAGAAATTTCTTGTTTGGGATGAGGAAATACAGCAACAGGTCTGGAAATAAAACTAAATGCATTTGTCCCATAGGAGAATCTATTGTCAGAATGTCTCAGATTAAGTAAAAAATAAAAATAAATTACCACATATTTTATCCTATTTTGCAGTGTGTTCTTATTAGTTCTCAAAATATATTATATATTTATTTTTATTTATTTATTATTTATATATATAAATATTAATAATGCCTTTCTTTTATGTACACTCCAAACACAGTGGTGATAAACTACTGTAGCCACAGCTGCCCTGGGGCACACGGACAGAAGCGAGGCAACCAGTCTGTGCCATCGGCCCCTCCCACCACCACCAACCATTCACACACACACCAGACTCATTCTAATGTGGGGGAAGTGTCTTGCCTAAGGACACAACCACAGCAGAGATCAGTGGGAGTCAGTGGAGAAAGTCTTGTGGTGGACTCGAACCCACAACGAGAGAGAGAGAGAGAGAGAAGCCAGAGAGAGAAGCCTGAGGGAGAGATAGAGAGAGAAAGAGAGAGAGAGAAGCCTGAGAGAGTGAGAGAGAGAGAGAGAGAGAAGCCAGAGAGAGAAGCCTGAGGGAGAGATAGAGAGAGAGAAGCCTGAGAGAGTGAGAGAGAGAGAGAGAGAAGCCTGAGAGAGAGAGAGAGAGAGAGAGAGAAGCCTGAGAGAGAGAGAGAGAAGCCTGAGTGTGAGAGAGAGAGAGAGAGAGAGAGAGAGAGAAGCCTGAGAGAGAGAGAGAGAGAGAGAAGCCTGAGGGAGAGAGAGAGAGAAGCCTGAGAGAGAGAGAGAGAAGCCTAAGGTCTCACTGTGGCATCCGGTGTTCCCACAGGTCTGTCATCTCCGCACTAACCAAGCCCTGCCCTGCTTAACAGTATCTGGCTTTCACCTGCAGGCGCTACAATGTAACAGTTATTACAAATACAATAGAAACTGAAGCTTAAACCAAATAGTGACAGTTCCATGGGTTTGTCGCCTTGTTGTTCTCTGGGAGACGGCCCGAGCGGATGTGTTGCTTTGATAATCTGCCCTGACATTTCCTTGTTGCTCCTCACTGTCGCTGCTACTCCCTCTGTTCCAGTCCGGGGCCAAAGCCACGACTCTGGGGCCCCGCTCGGAGCCAAATGTCCCCAGCAGAAGCCAGCAGAAGCCAGCCGTCATGTGTGTCCTGAGCCGCGGCCAAGACCCGGCCTGGTTGCCACGGCTGCGGCTAACGCTTCAGAACGATAGCGACGTGCTAATCCCGCGCACACCGGGAGCCAGCACTGATTAGCTTGTCGTGTGAGCGTTCCATCGCAGTGGAAGGATGGCGGCCATTTTGGATGCGTGGACAGATCTGCAGACGGTTGTGGAGGCTTCGGGATCAGTGTGTTTTACTTTCAGAGATCACAACGACAAGATTCATTCTCAATCTGAGGACATTTATTAAAAAAGTTTAAAATAAAAATAGAAATTGTACAAGGGCTGAAGCCAATGTGAGACTGGGAAGAGGAGAGTCGAGGAGGGCCGGTGGAAACGGGGCGAGAGTTCCATTTGTGTAGTTTTAAAGTTGGGTTCCCTGACTTTTAAACAGCATTTTTAAGCAACAACAGAAACCTCATTTTTTTTAAGAATAATTTTTGTCATTGCTTCAAATTAAAATTCTGATTCAGATTGTGATGAAGCTGGCGTCGATCTTCCTCTCTCTCTCTCTCGATGTTGGGTTTATGTTCCGGAATCTTCCTCTCCTTCGTCTCGTCTCGTTTTTGGGCCTTTGTTCCAGAGTCTTCCTCTCTCTCGTCTTGTTTTGGGCCTTTGTTCCGGAGTCTTCCTCTCTCTCGTCTCGTTTTGGGCATTTGTTCCGGAGTCTTCCTCGCTCTCGTCTCTTTTTGGGCATTTGTTCCGGAGTCTTCCTCTCTCTCGTCTCGTCTCGTTGTTGGGCCTTTGTTCCGGAGTCTTCCTCTCTCTCGTCTCATTGTTGGGTCTTTGTTCCGGAGTCTTCCTCTCTCTCTCTCGTCTCGTTGTTGGGTCTTTGTTCCGGAGTCTTCCTCTCTCTCTCGTTTAGTTGTTGGGCCTTTGTTCCGGAGTCTTCCTCTCTCTCGTCTCGTTGTTGGGTCTTTGTTCCGGAGTCTTCCTCTCTCTCGTCTCGTTGTTGAGTCTTTGTTCCGGAGTCTTCCTCTCTCTCTCGTTTAGTTGTTGGGCCTTTGTTCCGGAGTCTTCCTCTCTCTCTCTCGTCTCGTTGTTGGGCCTTAGTTCCGGAGTCTTCCTCTCTCTCTCTCGTCTCGTTGTTGGGCCTTAGTTCCGGAGTCTTCCTCTCTCTCTCTCGTCTCGTTGTTGGGCCTTTGTTCCGGAGTCTTCCTCTCTCTCGTCTCGTTGTTGGGCCTTAGTTCCGGAGTCTTCCTCTCTCTCGTCTCGTTTTTGGGCCTTTGTTCCGGAGTCTTCCTCTCTTTCTCGTGTCGTTGTTGGGCCTTTGTTCCGGAGTCTTCCTCTCTCTCGTCTCGTTGTTGGGCATTTGTTCCGGAGTCTTCCTCTCTCTCGTCTCGTTTTTGGGCCTTTGTTCCGGAGTCTTCCTCTCTTTCTCGTCTCGTTGTTGGGCCTTTGTTCCAGAGTCTTCCTCTCTCTCGTCTCGTTGTTGGGCATTTGTTCCGGAGTCTTCCTCTCTCTCGTCTCATTGTTGGGCCTTTGTTCCGGAGTCTTCCTCTCTCTCGTCTCGTTATTGGGTTTGTGTTCCGGAGTCTTCCTCTCTCTCGTCTCGTTGTTGGGCCTATGTTCTGGAGTCTTCCTCTCTCTTGTCTCGTTATTGGGTTTGTGTTCCGGAGTCTTCCTCTCTCTCGTCTTGTTGTTGGGCCTTTGTTCCGGAGTCTTCCTCTCTCTCGTCTTGTTGTTGGGCCTTTGTTCCGGAGTCTTCCTCTCTCTCGTCTCGTTGTTGGGCCTTTGTTCCGGAGTCTTCCTCAGTTACATAAAGCCTGGATCTGTGTGTGTTAAATATTACTGTAGGTTGAGTTTGTTTGGTGTTCCTCGCGTTGGGCACAAAAATAAATCGTGGAGGAAGCCGTCCGCCTCCGTGCCAGGGATTTTCTGCTCGACGCCTCTCTCTCGTTCTCTTTCTCTTGCCTCCCCCTCTTTCTCTCTCTCTCAGTATCTCTATCTCGGTCTTTCTCTCTCTCTCTCGCCTCCCTCTCTCTCTCTCTCCCACTCTTTCTCTCTCTGTTGCTCTCTCTCTCCCAGTCTCTCTCTCTGGTCTCTCTCTCGGTCTCTCTCTCTTGCCTTCCCACTTTTTCGCTCTCTCTCAGTCTCCCACTCTTTCTCTCTTGCCTTCCACTCTCTCTCTGTCTCTCTCTCTCTGTATCGCTCTCTCTTTCCCTCTCAGTCTCTCTCTGTCTCTCTCTCTGTCTTTCTCTGGTCTCTCTGTCTCTCTCTGGTCTCTCTCTCTCAGTCTCTCTCTCTCTCTCTGTCTCTCTCTCTCTGTCTGTCTCTCTCTCTCTGTCTCTCCCGGTCTCTCTCTCTCTCTCTCTCTCTCTCTCGCCTCCCACACCTCTGCGTTTTGTTATCTTTATGTTTTAAGTGTTACTCAAACAAAAAGGGAAGAGTAATAATTAAATGTGAACATATTGACGAGCGAGCGGATAATTTAAAGGTCGAGGTTTAATTCAAATGTTTTAAATTCTTTCTCTGAAGATGTCTCTGTTGTGAAATCAATAAAGTTTATATTATAAATAATTTGTATGGTTTTTTTAAACTGGGAATATCTGGAGTTGTTTTTGAATATTGTCACCACTTCCAGCTACTTTTATGAGAAAGTATTTTGAGCTTGGTAGAGATAGAGACCAGATTAACCAGCGAGAGAGAGCAGAGGGACAAGAGAGAGAGAGACCAGAGAGAGAGATATACCGGTGGAACCAGAGGAACCAGAAATAGAGACCAGAGAGAGAAACAAAAGAGAGAGAGACCAGATGGGCCAGAGAGAGAGCAGAGGGACAAGAGAGAGAAAGACCAGAGAGAGAAACCAGTGGGATCAGAGAAAACAACCAGAAATAGACTCTATCTCTAAACTGAGACAAGAACTGCCTTTCACTAGTGTTAGTGTTAAACTATGGACTCTTTGGACTGTTGTGATGTCACATGAACACTGACCTCACCAGACTGACGGGGACCTCCAGGCAGTACCATGTCAGACTGACGGGGACCTCCAGACAGTACCATGTCAGATTGACGGGGACCTCCAGACCGTACCATGTCAGACTGACGGGGACCTCCAGACCGTACCATGTCAGACTGACGGGGACCTCCAGACTGTACCATGTCAGATTGACGGGGACCTCCAGACCGTACCATGTCAGATTGACGGGGACCTCCAGACAGTACCATGTCAGACTGACGGGGACCTCCAGACCGTGCCATGTCAGATTGACGGGGACCTCCAGACCGTACCATCTCAGACTGACGGGGACCTCCAGACCGTGCCATGTCAGATTGACGGGGACCTCCAGACCGTGCCATGTCAGATTGACGGGGACCTCCAGACCGTGCCATGTCAGACTGACGGGGACCTCCAGACCGTACCATGTCAGACTGACGGGGACCTCCAGACCGTACCATGTCAGACTGACGGGGACCTCCAGACCGTACCATGTCAGACTGACGGGGACCTGCCTGTGTCTGGTTCTGGTCCAGGTTTTCCTCCAGATTGAAGAGTTTGAAAGTGCGAGTGTCTCATGGTTACATAAATCCTGTTTGGTTCCTCGTCGGGACAGAAATAAAACCTGTAGGCAGCTCTCTGTGCGGAGCGGGGGGTTTCTACTTCAGTCCAACCTTTACATCAGTATCTGTAGGTTTCAGTCTCTCTTTCTTTGCTGCATGTTTGTGCAGGGTCTCTCTCCTCGGAGCGTAATAGATTTATTAAAGTTCTCTAGTTGGATCAGTAACTATCTGAAATAATTCATTATAAGGGGATGTTTTGTTACTTGCTTTTAAGACGAGATAAGATAGACTTTTTTGTGTCCATTTGTCAGTGAAGCTCTCTGGTCTCTCTCCAGTCTCTCTCTTGGTCTCTCTCTGGTCTCTCTCTGGTCTCTCTCTGGTCTCTCTGGTCTCTCTCCAGTCTCTCTCTTGGTCTCTCTCTGGTCTCTCTCTGGTCTCTCTCTGGTCTCTCTGGTCTCTCTCCAGTCTCTCTCTTGGTCTCTCTCTGGTCTCTCTCTTGGTCTCTCTCCAGTCTCTCTCTTGGTCTCTCTCTGGTCTCTCTCTGGACTCTCTCCAGTCTCTCTCTTGGTCTCTCTCTGGACTCTCTCCTGTCTCTCTCTTGGTCTCTCTCTGGCCTCTCTCTGGTCTCTCTCAGTCTCTCTCTCTGGTCTCTCTCTGGTCTCTCTCTGGTCTCTCTCTGGTCTCTCTCTGGTCTCTCTCTGGTCTCTCTCTCTGCTCTCTCTCTGGTCTCTCTCTCTGGTCTCTCTCTCTGGTCTCTCTCCAGTCTCTCTCTTGGTCTCTCTCCAGTCTCTCTCTTGGTCTCTCTCCAGTCTCTCTCCAGTCTCTCTCTGGACTCTCCCCAGTCTCTCTCTTGGTCTCTCTCTGGTCTCTCTCCAGTCTCTCTCTCTGGTCTCTCTCTCTGGTCTCTCTCCAGTCTCTCTCTCTGGTCTCTCTCTGCTCTCTCTCTGGACTCTCTCCAGTCTCTCTCTTTGTCTCTCTCTGGTCTCTCTCTGGTCTCTCTCTCTGGTCTCTCTCCAGTCTCTCTCTCTGGTCTCTCTCTCTGCTCTCTCTCTGCTCTCTCTCTGGTCTCTCTCTGGTCTCTCTCTGCTCTCTCTGGACTCTCTCTCCTCTCTCTGTCTGGTCTCTCTGGTCTCCCTCTGGTCTCTCTCTCTGGTCTCTCTCTGGTCTCTCTCTCTGGTTTCTCTCCAGTCCCTCTCTCTGGTCTCTCTCCAGTCTCTCTCTTGGTCTCTCTCTGGTCTCTCTCCTGTCTCTCTCTCTGGTCTCTCTCTCTCTGGTCTCTCTCTCTGGTGTCTCTCTCTGGTGTCTCTCTCTGGTCTCTCTCTCTGGTCTCTCTCTCTGGTCTCTCTCTCTGGTCTCTCTGGACTCTCTCTCCTCTCTCTGTCTGGTCTCTCTCTCTGTCTGGTCTCTCTGGTCTCTCTCTGGTCTCTCTCTGGACTCTCTCTCCTCTCTCTGTCTGGTCTCTCTGGTCTCTCTCTGGTCTCTCTTTGGTCTCTCTCTGGTATAGCTATTAGTCTTAAAAAGATACAGAAATAGTAAATGGTTTTGTGCCGTTGGAGAATCTGGTTTAAACCCGGTCAGAATGAACTCTCTAAACCTCTCTCTCTCCACTCCCCCTCTCCTCTCCTCCTCTCTTCCTCCTCTCCTCCTCTCTTCCTCCTCTCCTCCTCTCCTCCTGGTCCTTATATATATATGTGTGTCTTTGTTCTGCTTTTGGGACCCAGTGTTTTGGAACTCTCTCTTCCCACTCTGCTGGTTTAGAGGAGCCTGAGTGGGATGCTCTTTGGTCCCAGCACGATGGAGGGAGGGGGAGGGAGAGAGGGAGGGAGAGAGAGAGAGAGAGAGGGAGAGAGGAAGGGAGGGAGAGAGAGAGAGAGAGGGAGGGAGGCAGGCAGAGAGAGAGATGATTGGAGTCCACTCTAAACAACCCTTACACCTCCTGGCTTCCCCTCTTCTTCTTCCCCTCTCTCTCTCCTCTCCTCTCTCTCCCCTCTTTCTCTCCCCTGTTCTATCTCTCTCCCTCTTCTCCCCCCCCCCCCCCCCCCCTCTCTCTCTCCTGCACCCAGCATGGCCTTGTACTCCTCTCCTTCCCTCTCCTCTCTCCCCTGTTCTCTACCTCCCTCTCTCTCCTCTCTCTCCCCCAGCGTGGCCCTACTCCTTCTGGCTTCCCCTCCTCTCTCTTCCTCCCCTCTCTCCTCCCTCTCTCTCTCCCTTCCTGTCCTCTTTCTCTCCTCCCTCTCCCCCTCCCTCCTCTCTCCCCTGTTCTCTCCCCCCCCCCCCCCCCCCCCCTCTCTCTTCCTCTCTCTCCCTCCCTCTCTCTCCTCGCTCCCTTGTTCTCTCCCTCCCTCTTTCTCCCCCTCTCCTCCTCCTTCCCTCCCTCTCTCTCCTCCTCCCTCTCCTCCCTCCCTCCCAGCGTGGCGGTGGTGGAGGGACTTTGGCCGCAGACGCCGGTAGCAGCAGAAGGCTCAGTGCCGTGAGGCCCCGTGCTCTGCCAACGTTTGTTTATGAAATGAACGCCGCCATCAGACCTCCGAGGGACCGCCGTGTTTGTAATTACACACCGCGCCGCTAATATTAAGCACATTCCAAAACCGACGCCACCGGAATCTGAATCGAACGCGAGCTTTGAACGGAGAAGTCAAGTTTCTAACCAAGGTTATCATTGAATTACATGGATTTGCACGTCACGGCCTGGACTGGACTGGACTTTCACCTGGGTTTATTTGGACTTATTGGTTCTGCAGATGTGCCAGATGTGTCTCCCTGAGTGTGTTTACACCCTGTGCTGCGCTATATCAATAAACATGACTTCCTCTGATTTGAGAGGGAATAGTTGGATTGTAACGGCACAGTAGCTGAGTGGTTAGCACACTCACTTCACAGCAAGATGGTCCTGGGTTCGAATCCCGGTCGGAACAGGGCCTCTCTGAGCGGAGTTTGCATGTTCTCCTGGTGTCTGCGAAGTGTTTGTGAGTGTGTGTTTGTGAGTTAGAATGTGGGACACGGATGGAATTTAGCCCAACGCTACAATCTGGACTGATGTGTACATTAAAATGTACTGTTCCAACCAAAAATAAACAATAAATAAATAAAATACGCAGTGAGTTAGGCATTTAGCATTTAGCCTAGCTTTAGCCTTTAGCCTAGCTTTTGCCTTTTAGCCTAGCTTTAGCATCTCCTTTGCTACAAACGGACCCAGTGGGGAGTAGAGCCTCAACATCTCTACCAGCGATTACATTTGCTAAACATTCCTCTTGCTCCGGCTTCAGTTTCTTGATAGAACCAGACCAGATTACTTTACTATCGTATGCTTCACCAAACTACAACCTGCCCGTTCGACGCTAATTCTTGACGTCACCCACATCTAACTACAACACCCGCCTCCCGCGCTCTCTGATTGGTCAGATGGTATTCAATCAACTGTAATCTCAGACACAGGGACCAGACCCAGACGTTACAGGCAGGACATGATGATTGAGCAGAGTACGGATGGATAAGACCAGACTAATTCTGCTTCACCGTGGATTTATAAATTATTAACTTTCTGTATCCAACACATCAGCGGCTCTTCTTCTTCTTCTCTTAAAACAGTCGTTACTGCAGCATTACGACGGGGAAACAGCCTTCTACAGACTGTCCCTTTAAACACGGTCTAGAGAGTGATTCTCAGGACAGTCTTGTGTGAAGAAGTGAGTGGGTGCTCGTTTGGTTCGTTTCACTCAAAAACTGTGGAACCTAATTTCCCAAGCCCCGAAAAATAGAATTATTGTAGTTCTTTTTAGATTCAGTCTATTTGCCAGCTCCATGTGGATTTGTACAGTGTGTGGCAGAGGTCCAGGGAATGTCCTCTTCCTCCTCCTCTTCCTCCTCCTCCCACGGCCTCAGCGGGTCGCAGGGGCAGCCCAGGTTTGTCCTGAGCCAAAAGCACCTTCTGCCTCCATCTCGCTCCGGACGAGGTCAGCGAGTTTGGAAGAGAACTGAGCAAGACTCTGAGAGAGACCGGACTCAGAGAGAGACCGGACTCTGAGAGAGACCGGACTCTGAGAGAGACCGGACTCTGAGAGAGACCGGACTCTGAGAGAGACCGGACTCAGAAAGAGAGAGAGAGACCGGACTCTGAGAGAGACCGGACTCAGAGAGAGAGAGACCGGACTCAGAGAGAGACCGGACTCAGAGAGAGACCGGACTCAGAGAGAGACCGGACTCTGAGAGAGACCGGACTCTGAGAGAGACCGGACTCAGAGAGAGACCGGACTCAGAGAGAGACCGGACTCTGAGAGAGACCGGACTCTGAGAGAGACCGGACTCTGAGAGAGAGAGACCGGACTCAGAGAGAGACCGGACTCTGAGAGAGACCGGACTCTGAGAGAGAGAGACCGGACTCAGAGAGAGACCGGACTCTGAGAGAGACCGGACTCTGAGAGAGAGAGACCGGACTCGGAGAGAGAGAGAGAGAGAGAGAGAGAGACCGGACTCTGAGAGAGACCGGACTCTGAGAGAGAGAGAGAGAGAGAGAGAGAGAGAGAGAGAGACCGGACTCTGAGAGAGACCGGACTCTGAGAGAGAGAGAGAGAGAGAGAGAGAGAGAGAGAGAGAGAGAGAGAGAGAGAGACCGGACTCAGAGAGACCGGACTCTGAAAAAGACCAGACTCAGAGGCTGAACTCCTAGACCTTGTGTTCTGCTGCAGTTCAAGGAAACGTGTGGAGAGAGTAACGCTGAGGGCGAGTGTGTGTGTGTGTGTGTGTGACTGTGTGTGTGTGTGTGTGTGTGTGTGTGTGTGTGTGTGTGTGTGTGTGTGTGTGTGTGTGTGTGTGTGTGTGTGTGTGTGTGTGTGTGTGTGTGTGTGTGTGTGAGACTGTGTGTGTCTGTATACACCAGCTCACACACACACACACACACACACACACACTAACACACATACCAGGAACGCACAAGGTCAGAGGACGATGGAGACTCAACTTTTATCTGAATAATAAAGCGAGAAAAGAAACTATTGTTTTATGTGTTTTGTTTACGTTGGATTCGCCTGAACTTTTAAAGCACTGTTCATTTTAGTTTTAGTCACAATTTTAGTCGACTAAAAAACACTGTGTTTCTAAACATGTTGCTAATGACATTTGCATAAATAGGGACATAATTGTACGAATCCGTTCAGTATTATCGCCTGTAGCCTGCGTAGATGGTCCGAGCGTAGATAGTCCGAGCGTAGATAGTCCGAGCGTAGATAGTCCGAGCGTAGATAGTCCGAGCGTAGATAGTCCGAGCGTAGATAGTCCGAGGGTAGATAGTCCGAGCGTAGATAGTCCGAGCGTAGATAGTCCGAGCGTAGATAGTCCGAGCGTAGATAGTCCGAGCGTAGATAGTCCGAGCGTAGATAGTCCGAGCGTAGATAGTCCGAGCGTAGATAGTCCGAGCGTAGATAGTCCGAGCGTAGATAGTCCGAGCGTAGATAGTCGGAGCGTAGATAGTCGGAGCGTAGATAGTCGGAGCGTAGATAGTCGGAGCGTAGATAGTCCGAGCGTAGATAGTCCGAGCGTAGATAGTCCGAGCGTAGATAGTCCGAGGGTAGATAGTCCGAGCGTAGATAGTCCGAGCGTAGATAGTCCGAGCGTAGATAGTCCGAGCGTAGATAGTCCGAGCGTAGATAGTCCGAGCGTAGATAGTCCGAGCGTAGATAGTCCGAGCGTAGATAGTCCGAGCGTAGATAGTCCGAGCGTAGATAGTCCGAGCGTAGATAGTCGAGCGTAGATAGTCGGAGCGTAGATAGTCGGAGCGTAGATAGTCGGAGCGTAGATAGTCGGAGCGTAGATAGTCCGAGCGTAGATAGTCCGAGCGAGATGTCGAGCGTAGATAGTCCGAGCGTAGATAGTCCGAGCGTAGATAGTCGGAGCGTAGATAGTCGGAGCGTAGATAGTCGGAGCGTAGATAGTCCGAGCGTAGATAGTCCGAGCGTAGATAGTCCGAGCGTAGATGGTCCGAGCGTAGATGG